TTAATTCTGATTTAATAACAAAGGTGATAAATAGACAAACTGACTTCTCTGATAATTATTTCTAATGATTAATATTGACAGAATCCAGGTTCATAGGAAATTACAATTTATTTCTGCCTGGTTCAGCTGAAACACAGAGGCACTTTGAAAGGCTAAGTAACATTTTCTAACGGAAAGGAGCAGTTTTAAAAGGAGCAAGGCTTTATCTTCGAGCGTTCAGAGTTCTGCACATCTTTCTGCGCCATTAACCACCTTCTCACTTCTATAGGAGATTATGGGGATATTCCTCCCTCTTCTTCTGAGTGACATCTACCGTGAGGATGAGATCTCTGAGTGACCCTGTGTCTCCCGGAGCACCACGCCCAGTGACTTGGAGATACATGTTCATTACATTTTTCAGGGCAGAGATGATATCGGTAGGACCGATTCTTGAGCCAATTTCTTAACTCTGCTTCTAATAAATACAGTGGGGCCTTGACTTACGAGTTTAATTCATTCCGAGACCGAGCTCGTTAAGGAGCTCGTTAACTCAAATTACTCTGTCAACTCAATGCAAAAAATCAGCCGAGAGACAGCTGGTATCTCAAAAAACTCGTTAGTCGGGACACTCGTAAGTCAAGGCCCCACTGTACTGTTGTTTATGCGTCCTTAGGTTCTTAAATGCACATTGGTAAGTTTCTAACACTGAAAAACATACGTTTTTTTTTCTGGCCCTTTTAGTTATAAACATGTCTTCTCTTCTAGAATCCATTCTGGTTCTGTGATAACATAGTCTCTGAATTCCAGTGTTATGCCTATTGATATTCTTTTATGTCCCCATTTCCATTTACCATTGACTTTCCCCTCCGTTAGCAGTCACACCTTGATAGCAACTCAGACCTTGACCCCGTGTTTTCTGGGCCCGAGGTTCCCAAAGGGTAGGTGTGGTTTCCCTTTCATTTCCCACTTACTCCTCAGGGCACAGTGGGCAGGCTTTCACCCCCTCATGCCACTCTAGCTTTGTGAGTTTTCAGAGGACTTTCAGTTCTCTTCGTAACTGACCTCTCTGTATCATGTTTTAAAAAGTATCCCTGTCATTCGCTGCTTTCTCTGACACCATCCTTTCCCCATTCTCTTGCCATCAACCCTTTTCCCCCATAGAATCCACTTGCTATCAAATCTCCAGGTAATGGCCCAGGTTCTCAGACTTTTTTTCACCATATACTCTCCCTTTGGAAAAGTTTAGCAGTTTCCATAGATTTTTTAAAAATATTTTTTATTGATTTCAGAGAGGAAGGGAGAGGGAGAGAGATAGAAACATCAATGATGAGAGGGAATCATTGTGATCAGGAATTGAATCGTGACCTCCTGGTTCATAGGTTGATACTCAACCACTCAGCCAGGCCGGCGGGACCCAATTTCCATAGATTTAGCCCTCAATTTCAATTACAGACAAACTTCATCAATAGCCTAGGCTTCCTCCTCTCCCCCCAATAATCTCCATACAGATTGTGGCTTAATGGCCAAGTCTAATTGTTTGTCCTGCAGGCATTTCAAGCTGAATGTGAAGAAGCGTGGGGTTGTGGTTATTAGGAAAGGCTTCTTAGAAGAGATGAGATTTGTGCTGAGTCTTGAAGGTGATTAGGACTCTTCAGGAGAAAGCAGTGAGGGGCGAGGGAGAAGTACAGGTTGATGGAACAGCAACATCATGGCGACCAGAGAGCAGGGCAGGCCTGAGACCAGCTGGTGTTGGGTGTGAATTAAGCTTGGGGTGTCTGCAGAGGAATGACTAGAGAGATCCCAGTCAGTGTGCACATATCTTTGTGTAGAGCATCAGTGGGAAATAATTTATGGGTTTTAAGTAGATGAGAGATATGATTTAATTAGTCTATTAGAATATTCATCATATGGTTGACAGAGGAATGGTCTAGAGAAGATAAAGCTGGAGGCAAAAGACTTTCCTACAAATAATTTAAACCTTTAAACACTAAACAAATACAAATGGAAAACAGAGATGGTGATATATTTGCCACAAATGCAACCAATGGTTAATATCTTTCAGTATAAAAAGGTCATACAAATTGATATTAATTTGGAAAATATATACACATACGTTCACGAATGTAAGCATATGGCATTTGTACTAAAATGAGGGAACATCATCCTCATTTGTTAAACATAAATCCAAACCGAACAGAAGGAAGATGCTATGGACTGTGTTCCCTCAAAGCTCACCTGCTGACGTGATGGTGTTGGGAGGCTGACCTCTGGGAGGCCACTAGGTTTATGAGATGACCCCATGGGGGTGGGGCCTCTGTGATAGAATCAGTGCCTCTAGCTCTCCTCGTTCAATCAGCCATGTGCCTTAGCTGTTTCCCGTTTAGATTTTCCCGACCCCAGTGACAAAGCTCGTTTTCTATAGAGGCAGAGGGATTGGGGCTCACATTGTTGCCAGCATGGGGGTTCTTGGGTTCCCTCAGACAGAAATCGAGAGGAAACCCCCGAGAGATTTCCAGACAGATTTTCTTAAGCTGATGCTTGAGCACCAGGGAGGCGGCACAGAGGAAAGGAAGGTGTCTGTCTGGCTCAGGGTCTGGCTCGGCTTGGCTGCGTTCATAAGCTGGGGGCAAGGTTTATGCAAAAAGGGGACTTTTTGAAAAAAGGCGGGCTTGCAGAATTTTCCATTTCGGGTCGGTGGCTTCCTTTCCAGCTGTGCTGCCTGGTATGTTCTTGCACCTGTGCTGTGGGAGCAAGATGGCAACTGCTCATTACGGCCACCCTAGGGAGGTCACGTAGAGGTCACCTGAGCACGTGGGTCGAGTTTACACAGGCTCTTAGAAGGGAGTTAAATTCAGCCACCCCTGCGTTTTTGAGCAGGGAGTAGAGTGGAGGTGAGCGTCTGACCACCTGGTCTTAACGTGGCTTCATGGACACCCCGTGGACACCCCGTGTTTTCTGGTCCTAAGCCCAGGCCCCTGTGCTGCCTCAGAATCTCCTCCCTACTCTGTACTGACTCTGTGGTTTCTGCCAGGTCACTGAAAGTCTCTAAGCTTTGATTTCCTTGTCTGTTTTGTTGAAACCAATAATGTTTATAAACAATGGACGCAGATCCGCAGATCTTGTTATTTTTTATCCCCCGCCCCCTAATGCCAGGCCTTGGCCATCTCATGCTTGTGAAGTTCAGATTCATCTTCCTGACTCCACATTCTCCTGACCAGCCATCCTGTCGGGTCTTGGTGGGATAGTCTTCCCGAAATAGGTCACCCACCTCACGTGGGTTTTCCCTGCCCTCACTGTTACCCGTAGGGCCTGGCTTTTAAGGACTCCAGAGTAATCTATGTTTATTGAATATTTATTCACATAAATATTCATATATGCTCTTGTTATCTTTTCTGGCTGTTACTAACAAGAACATTGCTGTCATAATGCTTTGTTCTGTCATTAAGTTGTTATATTGTTAAAGCTTCCTGGAATAGCTACCTGGTTGTATGAGCTGCCGCCGCATCTACCATTACAGTCAGATTCGCTTAGTGTAATATTTTGCAAGCAATTTCCTGGCCATTTGGTGCCCATAGGTATTGCGATAGTTCAGATATAGTACAACAATTACAGTTGGCCAATGGGGCAGACACTGGATTATAGTAGGTCCTACTCAGAAGCCTGGACTGATGGCCACACACTTGCTGGTCCTGGGGCTGCATTCCAGGGCCTGGGTGGCTCAGAGACGATGCAACTCTCATCAGAGGCGTAACCAACGCGTTTTCATGGATCCAAATTTCAGGTTGAAACTGATGACAATAGGAAATCAATGACTGTGCATTTTATTGTTTCAATCTTAGTGAGTCGGCTAAATGGGCCCATTAAAAGGACACGGTGTAGATTCCCCACCTGAAGGGAAAAGGTGGGTTTTGTTGTTGTTGTTTTTAGCAGCTTCAGTTATGCTAACAATAGAGCGGCTGAAAAGGAAAATTTCAAACTATATGATAAAGAATTTCCAAGAGCCTGAAATGCCTTCCTGCTAGTTATTATTAGTCCTGTGACCATATGACAGACTGTGACCTGAGTCCTACGTCCATTACAGCACATTCACTAAATGCATGTAAGGACCTCTGGCATCTGGACTTGCCCCCAAGTGCATTTGATACGGCGGCTCCCGAGTGCATGAGATTTTATTAAAAGCATTCTGCTGCGCCATCCACTCCTCCTAATTGGTTTATGGGCATCCCCCACCCTTCAGGCTGGTCCTAATTGCATTTCTCCACAAACCTAGTTTGATTTATGGCTCCTTATTTGCCCTGCATTTTTAATAATAATAAATTAGAGTAAAATTCTGGAGACATTAAATAAAATTTACAGTGGTGGTTCTACAAACCTGGGGCTTACAGCAGGATTCCTAACAGCAGTTTTGCTTCTTTTTAAAGGCGTTTAGTCAAGGCACATCCTTCTGCGTGATTTCCAGTAATACCGTCTTTATTACGTTCCCAGTTATTTTTCACTGGATTTTTTTATGTACGGATTTTTAAATTACTTGGAATGTTGGAATGGATTGTGTAGAATATTAAGAAAATAGTATGATGTCCTTTTATAAGGTTGTGGATACATTTGTATTTAGAACAGAAAAAACATATATTCTCTAGAGATATAGCGAGGGAACATCTGCATAAAATTAGGCAATGTCCCTGTTGCAATTGTCAGGAAACTTGAAGTTAAACACTCTGAACTTAAATGCCTTTATTAAAAAAATTTTAAACTAATGTTCAGGCTTTTCTTCCGTATAAAGTAATATTTTAAAGTGACATTTTCTAGGAATGCTCTCTAAAGTAGCTTGAAATAAAGGAGACACTTAACCGTGGTTATAACATACTTTTGTTTGTAGTCGTGAGGCTTTCTTTGTTCATTATTAGTAATCTGCTCTTTACCAGCCAGCGTATTTTAGGCAGCCTGGGCGTTCAGAACACCAGGCCTCCCCGTGTATATGCCTCGGTTTGGTTTAAAATCGGATCCTGCTGTTTTCTCTGAAGGTGAAAGGCCCGCCCACGGCAGGTGCATTTAAGGAGAGACCGACCAAGCCCACAGCCTTCCGGAAATTTTACGAGCGCGGAGACTTCCCCATCGCCCTTGAGCATGACACGAAAGGGAACAAGATCGCGTGGAAGGTAAGTCGGGGCCCCGCTGGAGAGCCCGCCGCTCGCCTCGGCTGCGGGGACAGGCCCGGTGCCCACGTGTGGCAGGCGAAGCGAGGTGGCGGGCAGCCTCGGAGGGAGCCCCGCACCCGGCCGGCCACCTTGACCGACAGTCCCATTCCGGCCGCCGAGGAGCCCATGGCAGAGGGCGGTGCCCCCCGGAACTGCCTGGTGCCGGGGCCTCTCCGCTTTTCTGAGACCGGGCAGCTGGCGGTCCCAGGCCGCCGTCAATGATGGAGCTGGTGGCGGGGCTCGGAGAGCAACAGCCATTTATCTCCCCAGACACGGCCTGTCCCGCGGGGCACTTCCCAATGGAAGTTCTCATTCCCTAAGGGGGACAGGTCACCGGAGCGGACCCAGCCCTGCCCCTCCCGCCTGCAGACGTGTCGCCCGCGTGGCTGACAAGTGTGCCCGGTGAGCGTGACCTCCGCCACCGGAACCTTTGCAGCACCGACACTTTTTTGACAAAAGGTTAATTGGCTGCAGAATAGATGTATTGCCTAATGGCTCCGTCTAATGCGGCTGCGTCTCTCGCAAAGACTCGCCGAGGTCATTGGTAAAAACTCGTCCATCTCTTAACCGGGGAGGCTGTTCCGTTTAATTTGAACAGGAATGCCCATCTCTCACCGGCGTCCACTAGGTGATTATTTTTGTTACCAACGGCTTTGCTTTGGGTGGGATTTAGCAGCCAGAAGGGCTTCTTGGCTGTAAACAGAAAAGCGTGGTAACGTGTGTGTGTGTGTGTGTGTGTGTGTGTGTGCGCGCGCGAGCCATGGGGTAAGGAACACAAAAGGGTTTTGCCAAATGTCATGTAAAGTAGGCGACTGACCTATCTAACTGAAAAGCCCACGGTAGTGTCTGAAGGCGAACTAGGAATTGTTTGTAATTAGTAGCAAATGCATTTATGCTAATAGGTAAAATGATCGAGTTGAGGAATTCATCAAATGATCTTAGAAAGGCTCATTGGTATTAACTTCTTCCTTTTTTAATGGAAAAAACAAAACAGATTGTTTGCCTTATTTCTAGTATGTCTGTATGTGTTTTCATATAATTATCAAACATTTCTAAACCTCGAGCAGACATCTGATAATCAGTTATTGAACTTAGAATTGTTACAAATTATTTGGCAAGAGAAATCTGAAGGGGTCCTTGTTGAATTTTGTCACACATTTTTTAGGATGATGAAGGACATTATTACCATGTTTTTAATCATCTCTTTTAACATGCAAAATTTGTTTTGTGAAAATATGCATATTTTAGTTGTAGCATACTAGTAAGTGCATATTCCCAACACTTGACCGTGGTTTGGGGGTTTGTTTATATTTGATTAGTTGTTTATATTTGATTATGTTTGTTTGTCTACTTACTGTTTTACACAAGATAACACAGTGGAGGTTCCTAAATATGAGAAAGAGTATGCCACATTTCTTTATAAAAAGTGAATGGTTTTGGTCTTTTAAGTAATTAAAGGACATAAAAATCACATCAATAAAAAGAATGTATAGGTGTTTTGACCGCAAATAATCCTGTGGGTAACTTTCAGAAATGTCATGAGACTAGAAAAAAATTCATCTTGATAATAACATATAAGGAATCATTTTGCTGTATCTCTGCTAATCCAACAGTCTGGAAGGACGTAACCTGCTCTCCTTTTTCCAGTGTCATTAATTCTTTTAAGCAACCATTGACTGTGGTACTGATGCAGCGATCTGAAGCGTCAGAGAAAGAGGAGGCAATGCATTTGCTGCCACGGGTAGGAGAATGGCCTGCATGTAAAGAAACCTCTTATCCCGGGACCCGTAGACCTCCCTCTTCTAAAGTTGTGCTGAACACTTTTCAGTTGTGGTATTTTAATCCTGGAAATGAGACGCTGAGGTGATGAAGCACAGGCTGGATATTCCTCCCTCTTCCTTGGCACATGCACTGTGGGGGCCTCCGGTACCTGCTAGGAGCCCGCGACTCTTCTTTGGGGTGCATTTCAAGGAAGGGGGTCTTGCATATAGAACAGTGGTTCTCAACCTTCTGGCCCTTTAATACAGTTCCTCATGTTGTGACCCAACCATAACATTATTTTCGTTGCTACTTCATAACTGTAATGTTGCTACTGCTATGAATCGTCATGTAAATATCTGATATGCAGGATGGTCTTAGGCGACCCCTGTGAAAGGGTTGTTTGACCGCCAAAGGGGTCGCGACCCACAGGTTGAGAACCACTGACTTAGAGTCTCTGCTCTGAACCTTGCAGGCTGGAGGCATCTCAGGCTCCTCCCCCTCATGAGGCTGAGGAGGCCCCGCCCAAGGTGTCAGCCCCCTGCTCCTGGCTCTGGATTGGCTGGCCGACCACCTTCAACAGGACTCTGAGGTTGTGTCTTGTAAAGGACATACTGAGCCCCGAAAATAGAAGGGAGACTTTGAGACAGGTAGATGGCCATGCGCGTTTAGGTCTCTCAGCCCACATCCTGAACTGGTGTCACAGTTCGGTGCCCATGGAAACGGCCATTCGTCCCACCTGCCAAATGACAGGGCGGACCGAGGGCCGCTGTCCGTGTCCTTTGATGATCCTGGAGGAATCTTGGAGGTCGCAGCAGCGAATGCAGTGCTCAGCTGGGCCAGGGCCCCGCCTGCCGAGCTGCGCCACAGATGTGGCCGCTAAGCACTTGCAATGAGCCCAGGGAGACCCAGGAACTGAAATGCTAATTTTCATTAATTTTAATTTGAATGGCCACATGGTCACCATAGTAGACAGCGCTGCTCTCGATTAAGATAATTGCAGTAAAAACCATAAAAAGCCCGAGCCTGCTACCCAGACCGAAGACTGTGGGGAGGTGGGACTCGCCGTGAAAATGAGCAGATCGGGCTGATGGTGTGTCGTCGTCACGGCCGTCCGTGCTTAGCACACGCCCCTTGGCAAATACAAGAAAGTCTTACAAAAGGTTTGTGGTGACATTGTCTATGGACAGGTCAGTGGCAAGATGAGTAGATCTGACCTAGAAGATGAAATCTGCCGGCAAGCTCTGCCATGCTTTTTTATTTTTCAATATTCATTTTCTAAACATAGCAAAGAAATTTGTGATTAGCGATGGTTAAAGCCATAAAAAGCCTCATAATTAAAGGGTGTCCCAAAGTTCACGCAAGAAGTAATTTTGATAGAAAACACAGGTTTATAATTAAAAGTTGAAAATTTTTTATTGATTCATAAAGTATACAGTATAGGGTTATGTGTGGAATAGCATATAGTTTATGCCAACAAGCCCACGACCACCCACGCCTTGAAGGAGGAAATTGAGCGCTGTATCAATGAAATTCAGCCACATTTATGCAAAACGGTCATGGAAAATTTCAACAAAAGAGTGCGTATGTGCCAGCAAAGCCGTGGAGGCCATTTACCCGATATGCTATTCCATACATAACCCTATACCGTATACTTTATGAATCAATAAAAAATTTACAATTTTTAATTATAAACCTGTGTTTTCTATCAAAATTACTTCTTGTGTGAGTTTTGGGACACCCTTTACTTAAACATGGCAAACCTGCCCGTTTTCTGCGTTTCCTTGGCTGTCCTGACACCAGCAGACGTGACTTGATTCTGTCCGTGTAGCTTCCACGTCCAGAGCACAGGCGCCAGCAACAGCACAGGGCACACCTTTCTGCTGCCTCGCAAAGCAGTCACGGTGGGACCAAGGGCCGCTGAAGCTTGTGTCTGCGTTTGCGCGTGTCCGTGCGCATCCCTGACTCCTGTCCTCGGCCTCAGACCGAGAGGACGGCGCTGGGGGTAGAGGCGGCCTCCCGCGCCGCATCCTGGAAGAGAAGAAATGTTACACGAACTTGCAGAATGTCCAGGTGTTGTCTCCCCCTCCGCTCGGAGGAGGGTGGAGGGAGGCCTGGGTGTAGAAGGGGGTCCTTCGCTGGAGAGGAGGTTTAAGTTGCACTAAAAGCCAACATTAAAGCATGAGTCACAGGGGAATATGAAACGCTGTGGGTGTTGGCACTGCTTTCCTGTAAACCATCCTCTCTCCCGCCTCCAGACAACCCTCTCCCAGTCCCTCCCCCCCCCCCATCAGTTTAAATCAGCCTCAGGTCTTTGATCCTCCCTCCCCTCCCACCTCTCCTTCCTCTCCTTCCCAGTCCCCTGGCCCTGCCTCCTCTCGCACCCCCCCTTCCTTTCCTCTTTTCTTACTTCTGGGACCCCACGTTCCCCCTCTAGCTCCTCCAGGGTTGATCCAGGAGAAGGAGCCAGGAGCCCGTCCGAGTTCTCTGTTTCGGGCAGGATCTGTGTCATGGGGTGGAGTCACCCCAATGAACTCAAAGAAATAGCGGTTACTGGCACCGTTAACGAGGGACACACGCATGAGTCAGAGGTGGCGCTGTGAGAGTCGCCGTTTTTATATAAATTGCGATTCTGAGCCATTGATTTAAAATAGTCCTGGAATACACGTCATTTTAAAATAACCACTTGTGTGCAGATCCCGGGAGAAAGCTGGAGAAAATTAGTCACATTTGGTTTTTGGTTTTTAAAAACAACGAAACGGCATTAGAAACCATTTTGTCTGGAGACGAGACCAGCTGGGGCTGCACCCGGTGAGCCTCATCCTTGCAGTCCAGAGGCTGCTGGCTGGGGCATGTCCTGGAAACCCCGTCCCCATCGCCCAGCCACCGCGCCCCGTGGACTGTGACCTCCACTGACCTGCTAGGACCGTGCCAGGGGAGGCCGGGGATGAGGGAGTTTGGTACAAAGATAGAGGCCCCGTAACTCCAGCCAAATGAGGATGCGATACTAGCCCTGTGCCAAGTGCAACTGAAATCGCGAGTCTTCACATTGTCTGCGGAGGGGGAGGGCTCCAACCGGGCTTGTCCTGGCCTCGGATCTCCCATGGGCACCTGCCAGCCCTCGTCCCCAGTGTCGTGGTGGGCAGTGGGCCTCTTGGTTTTTATCTTTAGTGTGATATGTAAATGATCTTTAGAGCCAACAA